CAGCTCTCACAGGCCCACCACAACCTCTTGGGCTGTCGTCTGTTTTCCTTAAGTCAGGTTCACCAAGCTGTCAGAGCCGGCGTCTAGTTAATCACAGCTCACCAGGTCATCCGGAATGAGCTTCCCAAGAGACACTGTCTTTTCCAATACCAAAAGGCCCACCGGGTCGTCCGGTCTTAGCCCGCAGGACTCACTGTCCTCCAACAATTCAAAACCCACCGGGTCATCCAGAATGGGTCAGCAGGGCTGAGTCAACTGCTCGAGCCTGCACAGGACTCACTGTCCTGTCTACCAGATCCTCCGGCTAAGCACTGTAGCACTATAAACTGCACTCATGCTTCCTGACTATCAGAGTCAGCGCTCCCCAGTATTCTCACCAGTGCTAGAGCTAGCAGCAACCAAGCCGCTTCAGTTTTGGGTTCCAAGAAGCTACTGTCCTGGCATCCAGTACTCCCACCCTCATGGTCAATGGGACGTAGTTAACAATACTGAGTAGATAATAATGAAAATAAAACAAAACATACTAATGTAGTAAGATGTACTAATGTAGGTAAGTAATAAACCTTTAGTTAGTTTATTACAGGATTAGCTACAGGCGTTGTCTTTGGTGTGAGATCTGAGATACAAATTGATCTGAGGTATACGACTGCCTCTTGGAGCTGGAAGTAACCTGAATATCTTGTGATCTTTGGTGTAGGTGACCATTTAACACTAAGTCCAGCTTGCCTGGGTGGCAAGATAGACTGGAGAGCCTAAGGGGACTGTCTGTGACTCCATGGTAAGACTGTTATAGTGATCCAGGAGTTCACATTTGTTACTGGGCTGGTAACATCTAATTATAGAACACACCTCCAATTGCAGCATAGACACCCTAAGTGTCCCCCTGACAGCCAAGGGAGTGGCTGTGAGCTCTTCAGACTGGGACTTAGGTAGAGCATGAGAGAGACCAACAATACAACAAGAAAAAAATGCTTCTGCCAGCTACTATGGCAGCATAATTGCCTGGTATTGTCAGTGCCAGGTTTAGCTTGGGGCGGGATAGTGCTGCTGGTATCTGCATATGATGCTAGTCCCACCACTTGAATTGTGCTAGTCTGAGGTTTGACCCAGGTGATGGTTGTGCAGCTGGTATCTGCAGCCAGCACAAACACATGGCCTAAACCAGAGGTCCCCAAAGTGTGGGGCGTGCCCCCATAGGGGGGCGTGGAGGACCATCCAGGGGGCACAGAAGGGCCTGGCCAGCCTTCATGGGGGCAGGGAGGGAGTGCCATCCAGCTCTACTCCCCCCCAGCTCTGCTCCAGTCTGGCCCCCTGCCACATCCCCTGACTCCCAGCCACGCACGCACCTGGCCGCGGCTCTGTTCCCAGTCCAGGGCCGAGGCTGGGGACAAGGCCAGGAGTGGAGCTGCACCTGGCCATGGGGCCAGCTACCAGCCTCCACTGCAGCCCGGCTGTTGCTCTGCCCCTGCCGCCAGCTACGGCCCATGGCTGCAGCATTAACCCCAGACCCACCCCTAGCTGCGGCCCCAGCCTTGGCCCCGTTACCCTTGTCCACGTCCCCCTCCCTCCCCCTGAGCCGCATCCCCACTCCTGCCCTCAGCTCGGGGTGGGAGTGGGGGGGTGGGGGTGGCATGGACAAGGGTAAGCAGGGTGTGCGACCCTCAAAAGTTTGGGGATTGCTGGCCTAAACTACATAGGTGCTGCTTGGTTTAGGCCAGGGCAGCATTTCTGCAGTGTTTGGTGTGTTTCCCCACTCCCCCCAGCCTGTCTGTTAGAGCTGCAGGAGCAGCAAGTGGTTTCTCTAGTGGGTGGTATGTCCAGAAGATGAGATGCTCTGAGACCCAGCAGGGCCCTGTAGTGCAGAGGCCTGTACTCTAAGCTGTCCAAGGTAACATAAGTTTAGCTCGGCCCGTTATGTAAAATTGTTTATGAAAATCAGCAAAAGTTGAAGGGAAATAGTTGGCCCAAACTGGATTGTTTAGGATAAAACAGCTGTCCTAAGGGGTCTCCAAGGCTCCTGGTAAAGTCATAGGTAGGCATGACAATAAGCTAAAGGAGTCTAATAATGGCAGGAAATATTTATAATTGTTTTGATTGGTAACATTAATGGTGTGCAGTTGCCCTCCCTTCTTGGATTTTGTCTGTTTGGGGGAAGAAGGGGGACAGGTGAACTGGAAGGAATGAGCTTCACCATCATATCTGCCAGCTACATTGTCACCTGGGACCCTGTTGGGTCTTTGTCTACTGTGACACTGTTGGGTCTTCCTCTCCCTGCTCTGACTAGACTAGGCCAGAAAGCAGGAACCACATGACATCGCTACCTCCATTGTTCCCTGCACACTCTAGGGCACCCACCTTTACCCTTCTGTGGGCTCAAGGTGTAATCTTACATCCTGTGGGTTTGTGGGGTCTTTTACTAGTGAAAGAGCCTTACACAGTAATATCCCTAACCTCTATTTATTAACAATCACCAAAACAGAATGCACGCACTAAGCATACAATGCTCACCACTCCCAATAAGGCAGACAAACTTTTCCTGCTGGCCAGTCAGGATCAGGTCATTCATGGAATCCCGCTTCTCACGCTATAGTTGGCAGGTTGCTAAGGTCTGGCAGTTCTGATCTTGGGCTGTGTCCTGGAGTTGGTTCCAAAGAACTTCCTTTGGGACCCTAGTTTATATAGTGAAACTGGAGTCCCACTTAGCTGTACCTTAACCGATCATTTTACTAAAGAATTACAAAATAATTCTTTGACCAATCCGAACATATTGCAAAACAATTCGTCACCCAATCATACCTCACCATCTTAGTTGATTTACACCTTGAAAAATTGGTTATGTTGCAAACAGAAACAATCAAAGAACCAGATAGAAACCATACAGATAAACAATAGAGAAGCAGGGACTATAAAGGCAAAACAATAAAGAAATAGAGATTTCACACCTATAACTGCTAAGTGATTCCTTGCCAGACAGAATGATGTCAAACAAGTTTTTCTTTAAACATCTTAAGATCTGTTTCTTTATCTGGTGATGGTGGGTGCTATTAGGACAGGATCGCCTTCTTAACAGCCCAATATTGCATTGTTTTAGATGGAATGTGAGGATGTGACTTTCTGCTTCTTGGCTCATGGCTGCTTCTCTCCTAATATGGCTGCAGAAAAAGGCCTCCGACCTTACACCCCGACTTCATCTAGATCCCAAACGCTACCTGGAATATGAGACTTTGGTTCTTGCTGTCATACTCCCTCCCACACATGTCCTTTTTCCTTCTCCCCCCACCCCCGCACACTTCTTCTTTCCTCTCTCTCTTTTTCCTCTGGCTAATAACACTGCCTATCTTAATCAGCCAAGACAGCTCCACCCTTTGCAATACTGCTGTGAGCCTGTCATCATAAAGGTAGCCAAAGGCAAAGCTTTAAACTGCCTGATACTGGTACAAGTCTGCCAGGGCCTGAGTAGCTGATAAGACTCTGTGCTGTGCCATTTTTTCCCCAGTAGCCATGTTGTAAGGGAAAGTCAACACCCGAGACAGAAGCTGCATTTTCTATATTTTTCTGTTCTTTTCTCTCCCCTTTTGTGTGTATGTGTTAGTCTGGTTTTGTTTTGAAGGAAGCAGGATCAGATTCCTTCAGCAGCTCCAGCCCATTTCAACTAACTTTTCCCCAAAAGGACATTGTTACCATCGTTGACACCATCTAAAAGACTGTCAGACAGGGAGTTTTCCTTATAAAAACTAGGTACAGCTAAAGGGAAAGGGAATAAGGGATACTGTTAAAACAAAAGCCTCACATAAGGCCAGGTCTACACTACGGCATTACTTTGGTATTAATACATCGCTCAGGGGTATGAAAAATCCCCACTCCTGAGCAACGAAGTTATGCTGACGTAAGTGCTGGTGCAGACAGCGCTGTGTCAGCAGCAGAGTTTCTCCCCTCAACATAGCTACCGCCTCTCGTGGAGGTGGATTAACGGTGCCGAAGCCGCGTTTCAAGTGTAGACCTGCCCTCATACTTTACATGTGAAATGCTTTAATGGATTTTTCCTTCCTTTTTCTGTGCCTTTTACAAAAATTTGTAATGGTGGCTGATGCAAAGGGAATAAGCCAATAACAACTTGACACTAACACCACACTTAACTGTTTAATACTGTAACAGGGAACAGGAGCTTTCTTAACGTCTTATCCCTTGTTGGCCCCAGACACCCTCTTTTCAACATAGCAGCCCCGGAGACCAAATCCTGGGGGAGAATGAGGCACTGCACTCTGCCCATGCTCCATAGGGCTCCTTGTGTCTTTCCCAGCAGACTCCTTCCTAAATGCTCAAGAGGGGTTTGAAACACCTGTGTGTTTGCACAGTACTGCTAATTACGGGTGAACCTCACTAAGCCTGGAGTTCAGTTTCAGTTCAAAAGCCCCTCAAAGTTCAAATGTTTGTGTGAAGCTAATCTAAAGCTTTCAAAGGAGGTGTTTATGCTATCTACATAACACACCTCCTCTCAGCAGACCTCAGCTACTTCTTAAACCTGCCAGCTAGTCCCTGAAGACCCTGGAGGGTGATCTTTCTTTCTCACCCAACAAGACCTCCCAAGGCAGGTTAAATGTGGCAGCAGGAGAATAGTAAGACTTCCCCACATCCCTTCTTCTGGGACATGGATGTAGAGGTCAAGGTCCTTAGCTGAACATCAAAGAAACATGTGGCTCAGGTTCTGTTCTCAAGTTGGGACAAAATTGGGGGGAAATTCTGATATTTGAGGCTTGCACTTTCCTAAATCCCTGCAAGTTGTTCCTCAACCCTGGGTAAAACAATGGTCCGAGAACCAGTTCCACTCTGCTCGTGTGTGTGACCGAAATGCAAATGTTACGGTGAGCAAGAGGAGGAGGAGACAAGAGGTGCCAGGGCTGTGCTGACACACCAAAAGGCTGCTGATCAGAAGTAGAACTTCATCTCGCTGGCCAGGAGCTTTCTTCGCGCAGGGACAGTTTGGAGATACGATTTTGAAAATGAACTTTAGGGGGATTTTTCTAGCCAAGTGCCTGGTGGTTTTATTCTCCTGTGTAAAAGGTGAGTTTGCACCAGCTTTTTGCTCTTTCAGGCTGGCTTTGCTTAAAATTGCACTTAAAGCATTTAAAACTGTGGTAGATTAACACCCATTTCTTGTACCCAGACAAGGGTGATGGATATCTTAACGGGGTGCTGAATTAGGCCCATCTATGTCACAATGATAATTGACTCTGGGATCCCAGTTCCAATACGGCTATAATTTTCAAGGTGGATGGGACCTATAACTGCACTGTCCCAGGTTTCACCCAGTTATGAGAATTTGGGGTGGTCTTGTCCACACTGCACATTTTAAGCCTCTCCCCTGACTCAGTTATAGTTGAGGAGCAAATTATTACCAGTATGTTTTAGATTATTCCTTTAATAGTGCTTTTAATATAGAAATGTGTAAGCAAAATTAAATGTGACTGATCCCATCCCTGCCACACATCTTCTACTAAAGCTAAATAGTGAAGCTTGGGGCAAGATGGATGATCTGATAAAAATCCTTGGATCTTACTTAAATATCATGGGCCACATTCTTCCCTGGTTTAACTCTCCTAAAATCAGAGATGAATTTGGCTCCTTGTCTCTAGAAGAACTATCACTATTGCCAGAGCAGTGCAGTGCAAATAAATCATTTAAAGAGCGTTACACAACCCTCTGAATGGGAGTGAGCCCTTATGAAGCTGCGAAGATCAGATATTTGGGGAACTGGCAATGGGACCTTTTAGGGTAAAATCCTGGCCCCGATCCTTGGCCATTGACTTTAATAGAGTCAGGATTTCACCCTTAAACTCTTAGAGCTTGATCCTGCCAAGTTGTCAGCACTCTGTCCCCAGTCCAGGCAGAGCTCTTAAATACATGCTTCACTTTCAGCATGCGAGTAGTCCCACTGACTTCAAAAGAACTATTCACGTGCTTAGATTGAAGCATGTACTCAAATGCTTTGCTGTTGGGGCCAGGGTGCTCAGCTCCTTGTAGAATCGAGCCCCCATTGTTAAGCACATGGCCTCACTTTTCCCATTGGTAAAATGGAGATAATGGTATCTGCCTTACTTTGCAAAGTGCCGTAAGATCTCTTGGCTATTATTATTTTATTTAGCTTTCAGTCTGGGGGGACCCACGACCTGAGCTTGCTATTAAAATATTTATAATAATACGTTGTAAACAGTTTTAGCATCAAGTTAACAATCCTTTATCTGACACGTATTAATATAGGTAAGTGTCAGCATGGAGTTTTTCCTACTGCCCTCAATGAAGCTGTTGCATTTTTTTCGTAACCCTATTCAAGAGCGACTTCACTGTGTAGACCCATTGCTCTTTTCTAGTAATGAACATTTTATTAAAGGGAAACAGAACTGTTGACAGTGCAAGTATTTTTTGCACAGGAATATTAACAGAAAGGGGGATAAATACAAATGATCATATGGTAGGGTGGGGTTGGTCTAGGTTGTAAGTTATATTAGGTACATACATATTGTTGTTATTTCTAGTTATAGCAATTATTTTTTAAAACTTTGATCTAAAAATTTAGTTGCAATTTTGGCTTATAGATTAGAACAAGTAGTAGTGGATTCAGTACACAAGAACCATTCATGAATGACTGGAATAAATCCAACAGTAGATCATTTATGATGGTTGTTTAATGTTTTCTATGTACAAGGATTAGATAAATAAGGAATATATTCTTGCTATGGACTTAAAACAGACTCTTGATTTCCTTGAATGGCTCTATTTGTTTAAAATGTTTGAAACTTTAAAAGTGAATACTTCTTTTCTCAGATGGGTAAAGTATTATCAGTGTAGCTCCTTTTAGTTCACCACACATGAATCATCCCATCCTCTTTGTGACGGCAATCTGAGCAGTTTGTAGCTAAATTATGATCGCTCTGTCCTTTGCAGAGTATTTCAGTTGGCACTGTCAACAAATATTGTTTCATTGTCTATACAGAGGACTTAGTGTTGTTTGTTTGGGATGCTCAGACTTCTGTTCCAATGATTCGGGAGACCAAGCAAACTTTTAAAGACCTATCAGGATTGTCTGTCAAAATACTATTGAGCTTTCCTTCCTCAGGATTTTGATCAACTTTTCCCTCATCTACACATGCAAAATATAAATGATAGAATATGCAATACAAATAATAATGAGTAGCAATAACTCTAAATATCTGGGAGTAATTTTGAGGAGTAGCAAGTATCTGAATTACATTTTTTTTCTTTGTCAAAAATGCTGCAGGTTTTACAAAGGGCTTTGGTGCTCCTGTTAACACTTATTGGGAGAACGAATATTATTAAAATAGTTACACTTCCAAGAGTGAGTGATTTCAGAATGTTCCCTTAGAAATGCCGAATGCTTTTGAAGAAACTTGATAGCTCAATAATAGCTTCCCTTTGGGCTGGCGAATGCATTGCATGAAACTCTTCATCCTCTCACAGGCTCTAATGGGCCGTCTCTCTCTGATTTCTCGAATAATTATTTTGCTGCACAAGCATGATAGTCTAATTTTTTTGATTTGACTCCAATATTACTATTACACAAAGCAGCAATTAGTTTTCAGTTTTCCTCGCTGTGATGTATTTTATCGTATCCTAGATCTAATGAAAATTTTATAATAAAGGATTATATATTATAATAAAAGATTTATAAACCTAGTTTCTCTCTATGGAGAAAAGAACTTACACTGTGTAAAAATAATTCAGCATAGCTCACCATGCCTACCAGTATAGCTTTATCCTATAGATTAGAGAGGAATTAATTTAGCAAATGGAAGATTGAAAGTTTTGCTGTTAATTAATTTATTTTATTTGAAACTTACAAGCATGTATTTAACCTGTCTGATAGTTTCAATATTATGTATCAACTTGCTTATGCGGTACGGACTAAGAATCTACACAAATGTTTGTGTGGAGTCAGCTTCTCATTTGAAGTCCCCTTCAGGCAAAATCTGTGCTCTAAAAACCCAATCTGCTATTACTATTCAGTATGCAGAGGCTGTGATTTTTAGATTTAGATTTAGTTTGAGATAAATGGACATGAGATCTTGTGACAGAACATACCATGGGAAGATAAATGCTGCTTTATATGTAACAACATGAATAAGGCTAAACAGCCTTTACCTTTCTTAATAATACCAATATTTAGCCCTTATGTGACAGCTAACATCTTCAGGTGCTGAACAACCACTTGCAGTAGCACCCTTGTGAACTGGGTATTATCCGTTTTGCACAAAGGGAACTGAAGTCAAAGGTGACCTGAAAAGAGGGGAAAAACCTGCCTTTGGGCTTGTGTTTATCAGGTGATAGTACCCATGAAAGAGAGCTCTTGGAGGGAGGGAGGGAGGGAGGGAGTGTATCCTGTGGTCACAGCCATGCAGGAAGGAGAACCTCTGGGTCTTACTCCCACCTCTGTCACTCACTCACTGTGTGACCTCAGGCAAGTTGCTTAGGCCAAGATTTTGAAAAGTGACTAATGATTTTCAGTGTTCAACTCAAGACACATTAAAGGAGGCTAATTTTTCAGAAATCGCTGGGGGCCTGAGATGAAAGCAGCTATATAAATGCCCACCCTTATCAATGAGGAGTGGTTTGGGAAATAAGGGAAAAGTGGGAGATTAACTTTGTGACCAAGTTATTTAATGCTGCAGTGTCTACTGTTAACTCTCATCCATAGATGCGTTGGACAGACACTAATCGAGCTGTATTGTTCTTCCCCTGTTTTGAAGGGTCTGCAGATGAAGCCCATAAAGTGTATGGTATTCGGAATGGTTCTGTTTTCTTGAACATTCCTGATTTCAAAGTGGAAAAGCAACAGGAAGTAAGATGGCTCAAAAATATATTAAGCCTCACGAAAGGCAAAGGTTCTGTCGTGAAATATTACAAGGATGAGGAAAAGTATGAGCAGTTCCCCAATGGAACCCTGAAAATAGACCGCCTGGTGGAAGAGGACAGTGGAAATTACAAAGTGACCGTGTACAATGGCACGGGAAGTCTGCAAGTGGAGAAGAACTTAATTCTGAGCGTTCAGGGTGAGTCATCTTCCATGTCCCTCCCACCATAGCTGGGTGAGCCCCCTTGTTCCCATTCTCTTCTTCTGCTGAATGGGTCTCCATCCTGTTTCCTTGTGGTCTCTAACTTTGCCGCGTGGGCTCCTTTTCATTGAAGGGTTAGCTCTTCTGCATCTATTCCCTTTCTCTGTTCCTGGGTGGGTTCCTCCTTTTCCTTTCTTTCCAGGTGAGTCTCCCTGTTCCCTTCTTTCCCTCTATTCCTGCTGCTTAGTCCCTCCGCTGTCTGATTTCTTCTCTCTCACATCAGCCATGAAATCTGTCGAGCAAACAGACCTGCACTGGTATCGATGAACAATGGAAGATGTTATCTCAGGTCACACTGAGCCTTTTTTTTTTTTGCCACTCAAAATATCCAGAACCCCTAATGTATATACATTTGGGAGGCTGGGGTCTAACTTGGGGGGGAAAAATGGAGGTAGGACCCTTCCAAGCTCCTCCCTCAAATTAATAACCCACTTGAGACATCAAAATGAGATGCCATTCACGATGGATTGTGGAGATGTTTAAACGGTTTGCACACTCTGCTGGGCTCGGCTCCCCTAACTGGGGTTCAAATATACCCCTGGGCTCCGCTAGGCTCCTTAAGCTTGTGTTCTTCTCCATAAGACACACATTTTGGAGCCTAAAAAGACAGCTCAGGAGAGTGCTGGTACGCGTGCTGCTGCCCAGTTCAAGCCCTGATTTCACAACAGACAGTGAAACCTTTCTTAAGCAGCCATTCAAGGTACCTTTAGGTGGTTTGACCAGTGTGATGTGGAGCAGAACTGTGCTCTGTACATTTGGAATACTTAGGCAGTCTCCTAAAACAGGAGGCTGCTGAAAAAAGCCTGAGATCTTGCACAAATTTCTGTAACATGAAGATTTTCCTTCGACAGTACTTGGTTCTCATGACTTGCTTTTGAGCCTACCAGCTTGCTTGCATGTTTACATCCTGCATTAATGTTGAACTGCTGCATTTGAAGCCTGACAATTAGTAAATGATTCAGTAACTGGCCCCCTATTTATTTGTAATTAACTGGGTCTCCTGTTCACCTGTTCCATCCCTTATAAGCAGTGCTGGTTTGAATTTTTTTCTATTTAGAAATTCTGACAAAATTTTGAATTTAAAAAAAAGGGGGAACTGTTTGGAATTTTTTTTTTCTTGTTTATTGACCAATTATTACAGCTGATTGGAATTTTCTGAATGTCAAGATTTTGATGACATTTAAAAAAATTTAAAGAAAAGAAACATGAGCAGAATTTTAAAAAATTATTATGACATTCATTCCTGATTTTCTACTAACTTGACTTATAAGCTGAAGGAAAAAAATACAGATATCTTTAATGTTTTAAAAGTTTTTCTTTATGGGGATAATTGCTGTTTAGATGGAGGTGACCAATGTCAACTCAGACATCTTTGACAGCATGAATGACAAACTCTCTGGTGGGTAGATCCACCCTCTCAAATTGTGTGTGGACACCTGCTGCCACCAGTGTAAGGCTGACTGATTTGCTCAATGTAAAAGTAAAAAGTTGCTTCTCTTCCTTCCCCCTCCCAGCCCCCGCAACTGATGTGCCTGCAACATCAACCTGGACTCAGAGTCAGGGTGGGCTCTTTCTGGCTTATGTACCATTGCCAGTAATAGAGATTCCGCAAGGGAAGCTCCATTACCAATTCACTGTGCATAATAGGAAACCGAAACCAGCTTATTCATAGCTTCACTGCCTCTGTAGTGCTAAGACGATGTCTAGTCGAGTCTATGTTCTTCTACTGCAGTCATCACTGTCGTATCGGAACACATTCCAGCAGTGTGTTAAGCAATGTGGCGAAGACCTGGGCTATACACTTATACCATCATGGCTATGGCAGACAGGGATGTATTTGTTTTTATTATTATTATTATTATTATTATTATTTTTACTGACCTAGCTTTTCCAGTCTTTCTGGTGCCCAACGCTGAATGCAAAGTTGCAGATGCAATCATGCCAGAGCTGCATAGAAGGAGACTATTTGTCTCTTTGCTCTACGATGTAAAGCCTTCATGTAAGTCCTCCCTGCATAGCATAGTTTCTCTCCCATAGTAACTGCAATGTGTATTTGCTTACATTGGACTGATGGCCTCCTGTATGGAAGAGAGGAAATACTGTGGTCTCCCTACAGGCCAACCAACCACCTTTGTGTCTGAGAGCCTGTGTAGTATCTGAGGTATTTGTGGGTGGAGATAGAGCAGCAGTTGATGATTTGCTCTCCTTGGCTCTTCCCCCTGCTCTGAGCTCAGTTTTCCACACACGGATCTAGGCGGGAAGTGTTACATCTTTGAGCAAGGTAATATAGATACAGCTCTGGGTCCTCTCCCTGGTTGCTAATGAGCAGCCATCTCAGCTAGTGCCAACTCTGCTCCGGAAACAGAGAGGGAGGTGGTTAGTGGAGCCTGCAAGTTGACTCTAGGCTCTGCATGGATGGAATAGAGTTCCTGTGTCCATGGACCCCTGAGAGCAGAGTCGTTGGGAGGGTTTGCAGTCTCCCAAGTCTGCAGGATCCCCTAACTCCTCCTACCAGATGGGATAATGCAGCAAAAATTTTGCAGGGGGAACCTGGTAGTTTGCTCCTCCCTTCAGCCATGCCTGCGGGGGTTCTCCATGAACTAGAGCAGTGATCTTCAGACCTCAGTGGTTCAGGAGCCAAATTAGCGATCAACATTACCCAAAAGAGCCACAGTAGTGTGAATTCCTTGTTTCATTTACTATAGTACTGTTCATATTCAAACAGTATGATGGGAAATATTTAGTGTGTGTATATATAATATAGTATGTAGTATTCTCACTGCAAATAAGGTAGTGCAAGTTGATAACTTAATTGGTTAATAACACAGTAAAAGCATCCTGATTGGTTAATAACTTAGATTTGAAATCAGTGTTTTAATATCATGTGCTGCAAAGAGCTGCAGGGGACCCATTAAAGAGCCACTTGTGGCTCCTGAGCAGCAGTCTACTGAGGCTCTGTCTATACTGGCACTTAATTAATGTTGTTAAAGCTGTTGTGGCTCAAGGGTGTGAACACCCCCCACTCCTCCAATGGCAAACGTTTTAACAACAAAAAGCACTGGTGTGGACAGCGCTTCGTCAGCTGGAGCTGCTCTCCCAGCACTGAAGCTACCATCCCTCATTGGGGGTGGTTTTATTTTGTCGCCTGGAGAGCAGCTACACAGCGCACCGTACAACAGCACGACGGCAGCGGCCGCCGTTGTAAGGTGCGCAGTGTAGACATAGCCTGAGCTAGAGTGATCTGGCCCACTACGTTTCAAAACAGCATAGGTCGAAGGGACTGGGATCCTCTCTCTGTAAATAAACAATGAAATGTTATCTCAAGAAAAAACACTCTACAGATCTGCAGGGAGGGAACAGCGAGGAAAGTGACAATGAGTCATAAAGGTGTTAAACTTTTTATAAAAAAACAAATATGCAGACCAGTGTTGAGCTGGCCTTTTCTTTGTTTTTGCCATATCCCATCCCCCCTCAGGTCTAATTTGCTGTTCGCTCTCCCCTTTATTTTTTCAGGCATTGCTACTTTCCCACTTTCTCTCTCACTCCTTTCACAGGATCATTTTGTTATGTTCTGCCCATGCCTCTAAAATCCCTCCAGGTTCCTTTGTATCATTCTGTGGATCTTGCCTGTTCTAACAATGAACTTTTTAAAATTAGAAATCTTCACAGACTGATTGCCTCTTCTATTCTCTTTCAGAAATGGTCTCTAAACCAGAAATCAAATGGACGTGTTCACAAAAGTCCATAACGGTGACATGTGAGGTGAAACAGAAGAACAAACCTACTTTTCGTTTGCTTGAAAATAACAAGACAGTCTCTGCCAAGAGAGAGACAACAGATGCAAATGACATATGGAAGACTGAATATCAACACAAGGCCAAAAGCCGTACTGCAAAGTTCCAATGTGAAGTTAAAAATGACGTTAGCATGAAAACTACTGATCAGGAAATCAAATGTTCAGGTACAAAGTCTATATTGCAAAAAGGTTACCTAATCACAGCCCACAAAGAGTTACACATGTGCAGCTGTCTCCAGGGTGCTGATTCTAAAACCAGTGTCAGCCCAATAAAATAACTGAGGGAATTGACATGCAGTAGGTTTTAGGCAGCGCTACACAGCAGGAAGCAAAAAACAAAACCCTTTCCCCCCCCAGCTGTTCTTCTTCATTATTTCTACAGCACCAACAATATCCATTGCACTGCACAGATCATTACAATATCAGGGGTCATTTTAGTTGGGTAGAATAAAATTACCCAAGTTGAAAATTGGTCAGGACGTCCATTAACACCCTACATTTCCCAATAATGGGCCTGATTCTCCTCTCTCTTAATCCAGATTTACACTGTACACCTGTGTGGCTTCATTGACTTCAATGGAATTGCTCTGGATTTACACCAGTGTAAGGCTGTGCCTACATTACAGGTGGTACAGTGGCATAGCTGTAGCGCTGCAGCTGTGCCACTGTAGTGCAATGGTCTAGATGTTTCCTACAGTGACAGACGAGTTTTTCCATCACTATATTTAATCCACCTCTCTGAGAGGCAGTAGTGAGGTTGACAAAAGAATTCTTCCATCGACCTAGACGTGTCTACACTGGGGGTTAGATCGACTTAACTACGGTGCTCAAGTCACAAAACTTTTCATGACCCCGAGCAACATATTTAGGTCAATCTCGTTTTTAAAAAGTTAGGTTGCCCCAGCTACGTCACTCAGAGGATTTAACCCCCACTGTAGACAGCGCTAGGTTGACGGAAGAATTCTTCCATCGACCTTGCTACCCATGCCGATGGGAGAATCTTTCCCTTCAGCATAGGTAGTGCCTACGCTGAAACGCTACTGCGGTGGTGGAGCTCTGCCGCTGTAGTGTTTCAAGTGTAGACACGCCCCAAGTGACAGGAGAATTAGAAGCAAGGAAGTCTTGATCTTTTCCACCCTTTGTATCTAAGAAGTCAGTGGTGCCACATTGGCAGATGGATTCTTTTGATTAAAAACCTGGATGTCATGATTGTGCTATTTAACATGTGCATATAAAGCATGGGCTTCCTTTGCAGTGAGCTTTTGGGAAATTAGCTGTGAAACTTTTAGGAGTTGATCGGCTTAAATGAGCAATCAAGTAGGCTAGGCCTCAGGTGTAGATTTTCTTAAAGGAAAAAGGTTTTATAAAATTTGCTATTCATAGAAATGTTTTCATGAAACTTTAGAGGGGGAAAAAGTCACTGGAAATTTTGTTTGTTTCTTTGTTTGAATTGAAACTGTGTCCTGCAGTGTTGGGGAGGCAAGCCCAGCAGCGCTAGGCTAGTGTGCAGTCAGTGAAACACACCTGAAACTGACCAGTCTTTTCTTTAATTGTCCAACTTGGGTGAAATGCAAGAAGTCAACGAATGAAAAATTTAATCAGATCTCCAAAATCCTTTCACTTTTAATAATCTACAGCGTCAATAGAAAAATTGTTTAAAAACTAAATTTTATTACCTATGTGTTATTTTTAGTCTTTTAAAAGTAATATCTGAACAGCTTTGGTGGCTTCCCACCTGCGGTGAAGTCCTGTGGCCTGTGTTATTCAGGAAGTCAGACTAGATGATCACAATGGTCCCTGCTGGCTTTATAGTCTAGGAATCTCCATTTATGCAATTAACTCTCACATGTTTCCTTTGACCTGTTAATCTGGGCATCTGGCACCTTCAGACACCAAGAAGTTTAACAGTAACATAAGTAAAATTGACAATCAGGTGGTAGAAACCTACATACTTATTACAACAGGAACAGTGCTGCAGGCTTTACCCCCGTAGTTTTACCAACAGCAGAACTGGGCATTTATAGCTATTCCAAAAGAATCATACAATCTAAATTAGAGATCCCAAAGGTTAAATCTATTATTAGATTACACTGCTCTACAGCCAAAATGCTTCTGAAATAAATGTAGTCAA